TATCGGGTTTTATAGACAATCTGAATATTACGGAAGGAAAGAGTGTACGAGAGGCAGAGCGCACCTGTGGACACATCTTGAATCACCATAAAATTATGAAGCTAAATGACTGACCGGATCAGCACATCTGCCAAAAAAATATTATTATGAGAATATGGGAAGGATGCTAGCAGGAAACACCTTCACCTTTTCACCATTAAACCTTGCACTGCTCTAAAGTGTTTTTGTTTTTATATTATAGTGGAAACTTCCCATTGACTTCTATTGTTTTAATATGCAGCAGCTCATACTGTAGCTGTTCCAGATAGCAAGCAGCTTTGATGTCTGTCATTACTGATTTGGAACACTCTCCATTAAATATAATTATTTAATGTATGAAATATGTGTGTGTGTATATATATATATATATATATATAATTACTATTCAACCTCTGTTGTGTTTAAATGTGCTTTATAAATATGATTTGACTATAGCACTCTGGATTCATTATTTAATTAATGTAATGTAATGTAATTTAATTAATAGCAAATGTAATAATAAATATGCATTGAACAAAATACTATATATATATATGTATGTATATACTGTAAAGTTCTCATCACAGAATCTATAAAACATAGCAAGTTGAGCAACACACATACTGTACATGTGCATTGATAATCAGAATAAATTAAACTCTGATACTTTGCAAAAAACAGGAACTGTGAACAATGTATCATGACTGTCTTTGGAAATCTCACCTGTTCATTTAGATGCTAATATCCCTTACTGTAAACCAACCCATATCAAATGCACAACACACCTTCCCCAAAACACACAATCACAGGATGTTTCATTGATTCATGGGCCATTTATTAAACAAAAACATCTTTAAGAAGAGGAGCCAGTTTGGATGAGACACTTTGGCTGCATGTCAATAACAGCAGTCAGATTTAGTGCATCTGCATTTAGTGCACAGCGTATTTCCTATTCTCACAGGCCACTGTATTAATACATATGCAGACACACTCAAGAGCTTCTCTGTACGTGTCACAGCCGACTCAGTATCCGCTCTGCCTTCCCAACAATGCCACTGTGGTGACCTTTGACCCAGGTGGGTCTGAGTTTACTTCCTCTGTTGTGTGTGTGTTTACTTTGATGTGACCGGAGGACATCTCTCTGCCAGCTTGTTTTCACACAGGAGACTAGTAGGCGCTTCAAGTTACTGGATGTGAAGCTCTCCAGCTAAAATCTAAAATCAATTTATTTCAATATTTTGACTCATAATTTTAAATAACTAGCCTAAGGCCTAATCTTTGGTGTGAAGATGTCAGTACAGGTTTTTGGAAGCCTTTGGTGCTGATGAATTGCTTTCTTCAGGAGTCTTCCTCTGTTTATCAGTTCTCTTATCTGGCACATACAGACATGATGTCAGAGTCCAGGAGCTGCCATGCTGTGACAACTCAAGCATCCAGTGTCACGCTGAAGATGAGACAGTCATGCTTTTAGAAAAAGCTTTTGAGCTCTGCTATTCATAATGGGGATTCATATTCAGTTCAAAGTAAGTCAGATACGTTACAGCTGAAAGGACAATCTCAGCTCTTAACATCCTATCTTGTAGACTTTGGATGTTCTACTAAAAACAACATTCTTGCAAAAAGCAATTTAAAAAAGCAATACTAACACCAAAAAACCCCCAAAAAACCCCTAAAAGAATCTGAAATCAAGAGGTTTTCAATTTGTGGCTTTTAAAAAGTGCACACTTATCATTAGAGCAGTACAAACCAAGTCAACAATAATTCCTACATTTTAATGAAGCAAAGATGTTTCAGCATTATTATTATTATATTTAATAATGTTTTACAGTTATGTGATACAATGACCTGATTTTCAGCTTATTGCTAATGAGTCAGTTATTCATGAATACTGTCTGCTACATAGAATTATTGGTAATATTTTACAACAAGGTTTCATTTGTTGACATCAGTTAACATCAATGAACAATACTTCTACGACATTTAGTCTTAGTTAATGTTAATTTCAACATTTACTAAAACATTTTTTGAATCATAATTTGTATTTATATTTTTTTAATTAGTTAATGCACTCTGAACTAAAATGAACAATGATCATTTGTTATTTTATTAATTGACATTAACAGAGATTGTTAATTAAGTGTTGTAAAAAATATATATTGCTCGCTGTTAGTTAATATATTAACTAATGTTAACAAATGAGACCTTATTTTGTTAACTTTAATAATAATAATAATAATTTAACAAAGTTGCATAAATTAACACAAGTTAATTAAGTTATGTATAGCATACATGTAGCATATTGTATTATTTATATAATTTAATAATAACCTATATTAATAATTCCTAAAAAGAAATGCTCATTCTTAGTTCACGACACCTAAATTAATTTCTAAACCTCACTGTCAAGTGGTCCAATTATTATTATTATTATTATAGAATCTCTTTAATTTATATTATCTTTCATAAAACTGATTAAATCAGTCAGGCATTCATATGTAAACTATTACGGAGCAAATAGTTTGAAAATACAATCAAGAAATTCCATAGATTCCTGCAGACTCAGTGGTTTAGTTCTCTAGCTGCTTTCTTGCATCTGATTGTGCTTATCCTGCTCTCTGCAGGAGTTTGATTAGTTGGATCAGGTGTGGTTGTGTGGGGATAAAACCAAAACCTACAGTCCCCCAAATCCCCCCTGCGGATGGCAGACCACACCTTCTTTGAAAGATAAAGATAATAACTTTATATTCTGACTGTATCTCGGTTATTACATTATTCCTGTGATCTCAGACAATAAGCCCACCCATTACAATAAAGAAGTTTTATTCCTTTTTTTCTTAGTATCTTATCAAAGATTCATCATAGTCTTAATACTAGACTGATTTTCACTGCTGCATTGTGATTTGCTTCAATCACCAACTCCAAATAAAGTTTTACTGGGAAAAAATCCTGTTTCTGTCCAGCAGAACTGCTCACTAAGTGCTATTTTTTTGTTTTTGACTGACAGACACCTGATGGAATTTATTAGGAGAGCTGAGTGTTTTATATGAGCTGAGTGAATGATACTGCTTCTTTTTCAGATTTTTGTAGGCACAGTGTATGAGAGCTAAAAGAACTTTACTTTATATTGATTCCCCAAAGTTTATTTTACAGCTAGTTCTCCTGAAGATTCATGTAATGCTGAAAACTGATCATGTTTTTGAACTGTTCATTGTTTAAAACTGTAATGTTGAGAGTGATGTTTTCAAGACCAATTCTCTTCAGTGTATTCATCATGGTTAGTCATATTGATATATGAAATCCTTTCATGACGTGTGGAATTTACATGCAAAGATTCTCACAGAAATATTTTTTCTGTTATTTTTAATCTGCTCCCCCAGTGCCATACAGCTGCTGGGCTCTGCTCTGCTCTCTGTCTGCAGCCCAAATAGACCAGTATGAAGAATGGAGCTGTTACGCGCCTGTGCAAATGAGGACCAATTGATAATGTCAGACCCCTAAAATGTGTGGTATTATCCTGAGGCTTGTCTGTCTTTTTTCACAGGTAGGAACCTGTAGCACCTTAGGGTGAAGAAAGAAGTGTCATACCATGATACATAGCTTAAAAATGCCTGTTTCTCACCAGCACGCAAGCTAACCTGTCAAATATTAAATTTATATTATAGAGCACCAAATCAGTAGAAGCATAAAACTGAATATAGTAGGTTACTGTAAACTATAAACTATAAAATAAACATCTCTCCAGCGAGCATTTTGTTTCTTTTAATAATGAAAATGTGTATGTTTACCATTCATTATCATATTTTGTAAAACAGCAGTCTTGTAATTCTCTTAAACACATTTAATTGTATTATAATTTTGAACAGTCACCTTAATTGATGGATGATTTTTTTTTCTTTTTCTTTGAGCAGTAAATCAGCATAGAATGATTTCTGAAGGATCATGTGAGACTGAAGACTGGAGCACCGATGCTGAAAATGCAGCTTTGCATCACAGGAATAAATGACTAATTTGAGAGTATGCATTAAACTGATCAGCAGCATTAAAGCAGCAGTTTGTGTAAAGTTGTTTGACCTCAGGCAAGCAGTCGTCACTGGTAATTTGTGACCAGAGACATGGGTTTAGACCTCCGACAGAAAAAAAGTAAGGCGCTCTCTAATTTGATACTTAGCACAGGCCATCGCAGATGACCCAGAGCATTAAGGTTTCAGTTTACACCAGCCTCTTTGATGGCTTTCCTTACGATAATTGAAGCACAGCAGTGACAGAAAACAGACACATCCTGTGACCCAGTGGGAAACGGTGCCTTCGTCCTGTGCGTAAAATACAAGAACACATTCACATGATCTTATTATAAGTGCTTTTATTTGTACAAAATCTACATAAAGGTCAGTTGACAAGTCAGTTGTTGAGAATTGATTATATATTAGTCATAGAAATCAAAGTTTTTGCCAAAGTAATTTGTAAGCATTTATATATATATATATATATATAAAATAAAAAAATCAAACAGTGCTCCCATAATCTCAAATTATAAAATGCATCTGAAAATATAACAGATTAGAATCTCTCAAATCTTATTAAAATGTAACGCAAATAAAAACGACTCCCCCAATAACATGTAATCACGTCTATGACCAAAAACAGCACTTTTAGCTGTTTTGTAACAAACCTCTCTTCACAGATGACTGTACAAGTAACTACATTCCCAATGTAACAGGTTAACATCTCTGACATTTGAGCAGACTTACCGAATCATTTCTATGGAACGTGCGCCACCTGGTGGCTGGAGATGAAATAGGTTTACGGTCTTCAGTTTCTCATGTCAGCAACAAAATAAATACATCAGATATGTTAAAGAGACACTCCAACATCATTTCAACATCACATCAACTATGTTTGTGATTCCAATGTTAACACACAAGAAATAGGCTTTTTTTTTTTTTTGCTATGTGGTTTATAAATCACAAGAGTGTTTTTAAACAAAAAACACAAAAAAGTGTGAAAAAATGTACAGCTTGTCACTGGAGAAGCATCCTTAATTGGACAAATTTGTACCTTATTTAAACCGAAATGGTTCTCAAAGGTACTAATATGCACCTTTTAATGGTACAAATTTGTAATTTGAAAGGTACTGCCCCAGTGTCAAGCTTTCATACACCTAAAGATAAAATGTTTTTCACAGAGTAAAGTTTAATAAGGATGCTTCCACTTAAATTGCTTCTAAGAAAGATTATCTTCAAAAATATATATATTTTTTTTAAATTTCACTCAGATGTGAGTGTATATGTAGCTACTGGTAACAGACATTATGTTGAAACAAGAAATGCTCCTTTGCGCTTATTATGACAGTTATACATTAAACGATTTAGTGAAAAAAAAAAAAGTTTAATAGTGGCAGTTGTAAGTAAATGTAAAACTGTTAAGACTGGAGAGTCATACATTATCAAGTCTTGCAAAGTGACCTAATATTGGTAAGCAGCGAATAACACAATTACTAGCCAAACATATTTGATTATGAAGTCTTTTCTGCTTATGATTGAGGAATAATGGAAGATCTAATAGTCTGATTTTTTTAACATTGTAACACAGAGACTGTGGAGTCAATTATGGACCAGCACAGAGAAAAAAGGAGGTTTGTGTGCATGAACACCAAAATGAAGTCGTGGAGGTCTTTAAGTCATTTAATCCTTGTCATTAAGCTTTATATATTCCTGAATTCTTCACACTGATGGGCGCAAGATACTGACGGCAAGGATCCTTGTCACCTCCAAAACCACCCAGATTTTCTTTTCACCCAAAGAAAATCTAAATACATTCATAGTTTTTCCTCCCATCTTGTTCTCATGCATAATGCTGGTTCCCAATACTGTTTTCTCCCTGAATGCTGACCTGGAGAGCTACAGGTACGTGTCCTCTGAACCCACACTCTCACATGAGATCTGTAAAACAGGAACTCTGGGAGCAGCGACTGAGTTGCCATTCACAGGTGTGTCTTCTGGAAGAAGCGGAGTGGAGTCTGTAGTGGGTGGAGGATCTGTCAGCTGGGCTGAGTTGTTGGTGTTGCTTGAGTCTTTAGGCAGAGAAAGTGGTTGGATGGTGACTGCAGGGTTGGAGGAGTGAGGGATTTCAGTCGGATGTGCGGGTTTGGGTTTTGGTGAAGGTTGGGGAGGTGGTGGTGTGCGAGAGAGATTTGCAGACGGTTGGGTTTGGGGTGGTTGAGGTGGATGTGGGGGTGGGACGACAGAGGCTGGTGGATCAGAAGGTGTCTTTTCGGGTGTAGTGAGGAGGGATTGCTGTAGTGATGGAGGAGGATGGTTGGACTGATTGTTTGAGGTTGTCTCTTGTGTTTGATTATTAAGAGAGGCTGGTTTGGGGTCTGTTGGCAGGGCATATGGGTTTGGGATGTCCAGTGTGGGATTGGAGGCTTTTCGGATAGTGCTTCTCTTCTTGACGCGAGCGAATTCGGATTTAGTGTCTGAGGGCACCGGATAGTGGACGACGATGGTGGGCTTCTGGCGGAGGTCTTGGCGGGTGTGTGGCTCTGCAGACATGATGGCCCGAGTGCCGTGCATTCTGGGAGGGGACTTGTAGCTGAGCTCGCCGTGAGTTTTCCGCCAGCGCTTGAGCTGCATGCGGTGCTCTCGCTCGACGTCCCGAGCAGATATGGGCAGCTCTAATACCTGCATGTGCAGAAGATAAGCTTCATACTCATCAATGTCTATCCTTGTTGTTTTGACTACACTCAACAGCAATGTCATGCTCATAAATGTTTTTTACATGATGCAAATAAAATGCATCAATGAGTGAAAGTTCCCACATGACAATAAAACCTGTTGGGTCTTTGAAGAATAGCACCCCAAAAACTGTTAACAGGAGTGTTTAAAGGTTGAGCAACACATTTAAGTCATTGTTCATGTTAATAAAATGATGAAATTCAGACATACTGTAAGCTAAACTAGCATAAGCTAAAGTTAGATTTGGTTTGATTTGCATTTAAAACCCAACAGGAAGATTTATTTAATTCTTTGTAGCCTATTTGTAATATTAGTGACAACAAAATCCACAACAAAACGGTAAAACTCTTGCCATTATATTGGTGTATAAAGATTTGATTATTTAGTAATCCTTTAGTTTAACAAGGATCTTTATATTTATGTAAAGTCGTTTTTCAAACTAAAATTATTTTATGCACACTTTTGTTGAAAAGTTTGGGGTCTGTAAGATTTTTTCTTCTTCTTTTTTTGTAAAGAAATGTATACTTTTATTCTTAAAATGACAGTAAAAATATTTATGTTACAAAAGATTTATATTTCAAGTAAATGCTGTTCTTTTTAACTTTCCATTCATCATCTAATCCTGAAAAAAGGGTATCACATTTTCCACAAAAATATTAAGCAACACATCACTATGTTGAAAATAATAAGAAATGTTTCTTGAGCAGCAAATCAGGATGATTTCTGAAGGATCATGTGACACTGAAGACTGGAGTAATGATGCTGAAAATTCAGTTGATCATCATAGGAATAAATTACATTTTAAAATATATTCAAATTGAAAACAATTGCAAAAATATTTTACTGTATTTACGATCAAAATAAATGCAGCCTTGGTCAGCATAAGCAAAATAAAAGTATTTAAAATATCGTAATAACCCCAAACTTTTGAATGAGCGTGTATGATGATTATTATTGAAAAAAAAAATCATAAAACTGGAGTTTTATTTGTATTATTATTTAGCTACTAATGTGCCAAATAAGCATCAATAAAACAATTATTAAATACTGATTCTACATATCAGCTATTATACACAAATGTAAAAAAATAATTGGGATCTACATCACTTTAAAAAACAAACAAACAAACAAAAACAGGGTATATCAATCAAATCTACTCAAAACCCACATGCAGTACAACAGAATGAGAATGTGTGATACCTGATGTATGAGAAACCCCTCCTGCAAGTATCGTGGCTCCAGGGCCCTGAGAAGCTCCATAGTCTCATACTGACCAGGACAAGCCTTCAGTTTCTCACGAGATCCCAGCATGCATTTCAGCAACACCAGTCCAACACGGAACATTATCTTCACTCCTATAGTAACAGCAAAGAACATGCAGTCAGAAAGAAAAAGACAAACCTGCATGTGTGGTAATATGCGTATAAGTGAATCTCACCATCACACAGGAACATGTCCCACACTCTGAGAACAGACGACCAGGGTAGAGTTCTGGAAAATGCACACATGAACCACTCCGTCATGTAGAGGATGGGCTCTATCTTGTGTTTCTCAAGGTGGCGATATGCAGGAGGGCATACGCGCTTTAATAACGCATTTAAGATCTCTCCATCCAACTGTATGGCCTCCTACAACACAAACAACACTGGCATAAGGACGGTGGGGTCTTTTTCTTTGTCTTGGAGCTAGGGCTGTGCGATTTGGGGAAAATATCTAATTGCAATTTTTTTTGACAGATAATGTGATTGCGATTTTAATTTTGCAAAGTCAAGCTTCAGCTTCAGTGTGCAGCACTGAAAAAAACAATAGAAACCATCACAGAAATTCTTATAGGTTCCATTAAACCATTACAAAATTCCTTTTTGTTTTGGGCATTATTCCAGTAGGAATTACTGTTGTTCTATTGGTTGCCATCTGCCAGATTACATCCCACCAATAGAATCCATCAAATGCCAGTAGACACCATTATAGTTTACATTAAACCAATATAATTCCCATTATATTTACCCTTAAATCCATTAAATTTTCTATTGTGTTTTGGGAGGGGTTCTATTGTTTTACAGAATTTACTTAATTACTGAATTTCACAGGAAAGATTAGTTTATTTTGTGTAAATAAAGAACTGTATTACTTTAGTCAATTATTAAAGTATTACATAGGTTACAGAGGCTGATTTGTTCATTTTTAAGTATTTGGGATTTTAAGAACAAAGTGGAATTGAACAGATGTGCTGAATGTTTCATTTCATCCAAGTGAAATTAGCAGTTAAAGACTGAATTTACACTTGTTTTAAATTTGGAGCCAGGCGCGAGTTGACACAGGTTGCGTGTGTGCATCTAGCCTCGTCCATATTGCCAGATGCGCTCGTGGAGACTTGCGGTGCAGAGACGCGTGCGAGTATAAACGAGCATTACGAGACAGGCTGCGTGTGTGCGGCAAGTTTAAACGGCTCCTCTGTGAGACGCGGCAGAGAGGAGCGAGTATGAGAAGCATTCAGAGACACAGGCTGTGTGTGCAGTCTTCTGAATTGGGAATAGCGAACAAGCATTATAAACTTCTCTCAAATTAGAATCTGTTGGGGAGATAAAACGTGCAAGATAACGTATATGTACTAATAAAAACATCTAGGAATGTATCTTTTACTCTCCAGTACTGAAAGCAGAACCGATAAGGGAGCTCTTGATGTGTTGTGACACAGCTCTTGCAAATTAACGTTACCTTTTTTGTTTGGTGTCTGTCATTTCGAAGCCGAAGTATTCTCATATTACATAAGTTTTTCTTTAGTATTAATTTGCCTAACTATCGATCTGACCCTGTAGACGCCATAATCACACACACGCTCTCTCTCCCGCTTTCTGTTTGTTTGTTGTTGTTTTTTTTTAATGGTGGGCGCAGTTAGCTAGAGCAGTGCTGATTGGGGAGAACGGAGGTGCACTCACTCTTGCCCAGGGCAAGTAAGACTGCAACTCAAGGCTGGCAGTCATGCATATGCTCTGGAACAGAGTAATAGCGCGTCCACATCGCAGGCTTTGCGATTAGCAAACCGCAACGTCTCAAATCGCGATTGCAATTTTGCCAACAGCTATTTAATTTACTACCCAACATTCGTGACACATCACCTTTGAGCAAAAACAAAAAAAAGCTTTGTTTTAATTTTACTGGCACCTACAACATATTTTTTTGTCTCAGGAAACATGACTCAATGCTTGCAGATTGAAAACGGGAACTTCAGATATGAATGCTATGAATAGAATGCAAACTATGAACCCGTGAACGTGTGTGAGGAACCCAGATAAGCTTTCAATTACCTACTAGTATGAAGTTCATAACAGTTGATCTTCGTTCACAATGCTCATCATTCAAATGTTTTATTACATGGTTGGAAAATGCAGGACCTTCCTAATGTCATCAGGCAATAGATAATGAACTTTTACACATAATGTCACCTAGATCTCACAAGCACTTCCTGTTTCCCCTTTTTGGATTAGATTTGTTAAGTAGTTACATTTATTTCTCATATAGCAAGTAACATTTAGAGGTCTTACCAGGCCTGCGCTGTAATATCCAGGGAGGTACTTCTCACAAATCTGAACCAGCCCCCAAAATGCATCCTGAGTACACATACACCAATAAAACAAACAAAAATTTATAATTTCAATCATCACTTAATCAATCAAGTAAGCATTATAGCTGTTTCTAATGAGAATGTGCACTAGAATAAGCATTGCAAACAACTTTATAATGCACTGTACCTCAGCAGGCATGTGCATCAGAAGCACTGCTGCTATAGGAGCCTGAGCCTGGCAGTAACCCTCATCCGGTCTGTACAGGGTGTAAGCCTTCAACACCCGGAACAGGTCCTGCTGCCTGCTCAAACAGACAGACAAATAAAATAGATCAGTCAGACAGAAATAAAATAGATCAAAAATGTACGTACAAATATATGTATATGAAATTGTGTTGACTAACCCATGACCTCCTCGGGACACAAACATCTCATGGAAGGGGAACTGTCTGTGTAGATCTCTTTCTATCACATCAACCCACTTAGGGTCTCCATCCATGCTGTCCAACTCCTATTTAACAACGACACAAACACAGGTTCATCTCACAGTCATAAACATGCATTAGTTTAAGCACAGGGAACGCTGCACAGGTTTAACACGTGTAGAAAAATAGTGGGGCCACAACTTTAAGTTTGAGAAGCATTACAGTAAGAAATGCATAATGATACAACAACCTCTAGAGTGACCTCCTCAAATCAGCTATAATCATGTGAATGCCTGTCTTACCTCGAACTTTCGGCTGTTTTGTTCTCTTTTCACTTTTCCGCCTGACAGGTAGAGCCAGGCTCTGCCTCGCAACGAAGGTGGGATTCCTTTCTGACATCGCAGTCGCACCTGTGGGTGACAGAGGTCTGAACGTCACACACGGATGGGGAAATTTTCAGATAAGCAGGGATCAGCATGCGTTCACTGTGATTACACAAAACAGGTAATCCAGACATCATTTTCAAATGGTTAATTGACACAAATATGTCAGTTTCCCTTTAACACAAAAGCCACTTTATGATTTAACATTTTAACTATGCTGGTTCTGATTCTACGTGATGATTTGGGTTCCCTAAAGATTCTTGTCACACAACACTGGCTGCACTGGTTTTGTTATTACATGTGACTAATAATGGCAAGAACCAACAGAAAGATGCATTTTCTGTTTATTGTCTTTGCATTACTTCAAAGGATATATAAATAGGATGTACAGTATGAAAAAAAGACATTCATTTTTGAATGTAAGCTACAGATTACATTTAATAGCGTTATTAAATTTGTTTTGTTTTTTTACTTTAAAGGTTAATAATAGTTCACCCAAAAATGAAAATTACCTCGTGATTTACTCACCCTCAAGCCATCCTAGGTGTATATGACTTTATTCTTTCAGACGAATACAGTCGGAGTTATTTAAAAAAAATGTCCTGGCTCTTCCAAGCTTTAAAATGGCAGTGAATGGAGGTCGAGATTTTGAAGCAAAATAAAGTGCATCCATCCATTATAAAGCTTGGAAGAGCCAGGACATTTTTTAATATTTAACTTAATATTCTTCTTAAAGAAGAAGTCATTTACACCTAGGATGGCTTGAGGGTGAGTAAATCATGGGGTAATTTTCATTTTTGGGTGGCTTTAAGCAAACGTAAAATTGACAGTAAAGGTAAATAGGTGAAAATGAGCATGCAGTTAAATATATAATGTGTCAATATGAATCAGTTTTTTAAAAAAATCTCTAATATCAGCCAATAACCGTAACAGTAGAGATATATCCTGCATTCATTAATTTTTTTTTATTTTGTATGGGATCTCATATTCAGTAATAGTAATAGATACAGATAGACAGACAGACAGATAGATAGATAGATAGATAGATAGATACATAGATAGAAAGAGAGATAGAATATAGTAATGTCTATATCTTGATTATTTTACCAAAAAGGTAACATTATTCTGGATTCGCCATGAAAATGTCATGAAATTCATCTGGTTTCAGTAAGAACCGGTTCTCAATTCCCAACCCCACAATTGCGTGTCATTGCTTTCAAGCTCTGTGTGACACAAGGACGAGCACACACAGTTACACAGGCATGCAAACATAAAGGCCATCAAAGACTGTTAAGAAATCCTTTGGCAAAACTCTTCTGTTGTCTTTACCTGAAGAGGCCTCACTCCCAGTGAAAGCTTTATAAAGCTTAAGAGAAAAACAGAGGTGAACACTCAGACTAATAGATACACACATCACTAAAGACCATATAAGGAAAGCTGATGTGATATTATCCATTGTTGGAACAATTGTGTATTGGTGTCATTCTGCTGAGGTTTTTAATTAATTCAAGCAGCAGTGGGACTGTCTGAGCAAGTCAATGAGAGGAAAAACGAGAAGGGGAAGAAAAGATAGACGGTGCTGACGGTGATACCGGTGTTAAGCCGCAACACCGGTTACGTCACTTGCCCACCGCGGCACCGACCCCCACCATCGTTTTAATTTTTTGTAGTAATAAAAATCATTTAGTTCAGTAAAAGAACAGACACTACAATTAAAAAACTGAACGCGGCTACTCAATGCAGCGTGCCAAACGACAGTCGCATCACAGATCAGATTTCATTTATCCAGTGAGGAGAGTGAGGCGAGCTTACTGACAAGAAGAGTGAGGTGAGACAGAAAAGACGATGCCGGATGATTTAGTTTCGAAACTAAATGCAAAAGCGCCTGTTTTTCATTTTGAAAAGCCTGTTGACTTTTGCCGTTTATCTAAGTTGATTTTGGAAGTTTTTTTAAACATTCGTTTTATGCCGAACTGCCGCTATTTGAAATAGGGATGCGCTGATCCGATATTCATATCGGGTATTGGCTCCGATAGTGCCATTTTTCTCGGATCGAGTATCGGCCAGAGAGGGCCGATCTAAATCCGAGATTTTTTTTTTCGATTGTGCGAATTATTCTGTGTTACTTCTGAAGCCATATGATAGCCATATGATAGCTTAACCCTTTAACGCATACGATCACACCGGTGTGATTAGAACTTTCAGTGCGTCACTTCATCAACCGCTGAATTTAAATCCGCTTCGCGCTTTGCCTGGTGCAGAGCCAGATCGGGCACGCTGAGCGCTTGTCATATTATCACAAATATTAATTGTTTTCAACCATATAATACTTATTTTAGGTTTCAGACATTTAAATACACATAAGTACTAGCAAAACCATACATTTACAGTTCTTTTTCATATTTATTGTTTATTTTATTTTTCTTTATAATGAAGTAGTCTGTATCTAGTAGATTGTGAAAGAATGATTATCAGTTCCACACACTGAGATATATAAATTCTAAAAACTTCAGTGGTATCGGATCGGTATCGGCCAATACCGAACCCTAGGTATCGGAATCGGTATAGGAGGCGAAAAAGGCAGATCGGAGCATCCCTAATTTGAAAGTGAAAGTAAAATGAGCACGCTGCTTTTACAAGCTATTTAAAAGTGAAGGAAAGCGAGAAAAAGAGGGAACGCCCCCTGCCCCGCGGTGATACCGGTATTACCGGTGTTGTCACACGTCGATTAATTGGTGGGAAAATTTCCTCACTGTCACAACCCTAATTGTGGCTCCTACCTTCTTGAACCTTTTACTGATCCATTTGTCCCAGTGGTTCAGCATATCCAACCATTTGGCTTCCCTGTGCCTCAACACTTCCAGAGGCACTTCTTGAGCCCTGTGTAAGAGAGAAAAAAGAATAAGAACTCCACATTTTCCTTATAAAAGGAGATGCCAAATGTTATTAGTTCTCACAATTCTCATAACCGATTACAATACGGCACATCTCACAACCGTTTACTTCTCTAATCTTTACACTACTGCTGTATGGAAAATAGCTGGGGAAACATTCTGCTTAAAGGGTTAGTTCACCCAAAAATGAAAATTATGTCATTAATTACTCTTACGTTACGTAAAATTACGTTCATCTTCGGAACACAATTTAAGATATTTTTTATTAAATCTGAGGGCTCTCTGACCCTCCCATAGACAGCAAGGTAACTACCACGTTCAAGGTCCAGAAAAGTACCAAGATGATCGACAAAGTAGTCCGTGTGACATCAGTGGTTCAACTGTAAAGTTACGAAGCTACGAGAATACTTTTTTGCGCAAAGAAAACAAAAATAACGACTTTATTCCACATTTTTGTCTCTACTGCGTCACTTTGGTCTAAAAATATTTTTAATTGTGTTCCGAAGATGAACGAAGGTCTTACGGGTTTGGAACAACACAAGGGTGAGTAATTAATGACAGAATTTTCATTTTTGGGTGTACTAACCCTTTAACTTCTCCTTTTATGTTCCATGAAAGAAAGAAATTAAGTCATAAGGGTTTGGATATGAGAAGGAGTAAATGATAACAAAATTTTTCTTTTTGAGTCAGCTATAAAACAAAAACATACTACATCAAAAAAAGAACATGTCACTAGGCCTGTCACGATAACAACTTTTTGTTGTGCGATATATTGCCCCGGAAATAATTGCAATAAGCAATATTATTGACATTTTAAAGACCATTTTATGCCACTGAATATATAATCATAATGTAACAGCATAATAATGCAAGAAGGCATACACACTTCCAAATGACAATAAACTTTAAATATTTAAGAACATTTAGATCATAGAAATTAAGTATCAAAATATTAGATACCTTAAAAAACCTGAATAAATAGTAAATAAACATTTTCATTACGATATTATCGCAGACGATATATATCGCACACCCCTATCTGCAGAGGAAACTTTGTTTGTAGAAGCATTTTTAAAATGTGAACTAGCACCTCATGACTACACCACGTTATGTACGAGAAGCTGCAAAAGACACAGGCACAAGTGGAATATACAAAACATGGTGAAATTAATTTTTAAGTAAATATAATGGGTGATATATTGCGTCACCTAAAATTATTGAGGTCATGTACATATATTGCGCGTTGCATCACCAAAAATTATTGAGGTCATGTACATATATTGCGCAATATGTTGATATATTGATTATTGCGACAGGCCTACATGTCACTCATCACATTTAAGCCCTTCATATAGATACTTAACTATCACAACTACAACAAAAAAGAAGAAAGAAAGAAAGAAAGATACTGGGACATTTATTCAACATCAAGATTACAAACAACAACAACATTATATAATGTTATAATACTATAGTAACTAATAAGATATCTCAAATAAGATTCTTACAAACCATGAGTATGGACAGCTGCTAAGTTTTTTTGAAGTTTCCATATATTTTATATGATGTACTTTACTGTATTAAAGGTAACTTATATATGCAAAGCATAAACAATGCACAGAAATCATGTTATATGAGTTTCAATACGAGTTCCCCAATCACACCTGCGTTTGGTAAGTCATAATAAGAGAGGCATGAACAAACCGTGAAACCGTTTTTCACACACTACTGGTCAAATGTTTGGGGTCAGTAAGAGTATTTATTTTTTATTTAAATTGAATTAATTAATTTGTTTATTTTATTTATTTACCTTTTTTTCAAAGAAAGTCATACTATTGTTCAGCAATGATGCATTCGACTGATCAAAAGTGAGAGTAAAGACATTTATAATGTTACAAAAGATTACCGTTTCAAACAAAAGCTGTTATTTTAATCTTTCTATTCATCGAAGAACCATTAAAAATCTATCACAGTTTCCACAAAACCATTAAACAGCACAACTATTTTCAACATTGATAATAATAATGTTTCTTAAGCATCAAATCATCATATTAGAATGATTTCTGAAGGATCACGTGAAACTGAAGACTGGAGAAATGACGCTGAAAATTCAGCTTTTCATCACAGGAATAAATTACAATTTACAATACACTAAAACAGAAAATATTTATTTGAAATTGTAATAATATTTCACAGCACTGCTGGTTTTATTTCAATCAAATAAATGCAGCCTTGGTGAGCATAAGAGCTGTAATCTTACTGACATAAAACTTATGAAGGAGAGCAATTAGATACTGAAAAAAGCTTAATTATATATTTTTTAAAAATTAGGGCAGAATAATTAAAATTTCATGACTAATGTAAATAGCCACTCAGTAGATGATTAGACATTTTCATCCTGACTAATTTGACCTGTGGTGAACTACTTTGCCTAAGGCTACTGCAAAGATGATGAACAGGCCTGTTATCTTTCCCTTTTGTGTTTCCCCTATTCAAATTTGAACCATTCAGCTTGTGGCCGAGACATTTAAATAGCAGTTTGCCAGCACACCTACCACCAGCTAGCTTCCCCTTTACTTAGATACCGATCCTAACCACTAGAAATTTTATCTGAAAGCAATGTTTCTTTAAATATTTTTGCTATTAAGCTACAACTTGCAGGTTTTACTTCCTTTTCATTTTCCAGAGCAATTTTGACCAAAAACAGAGGAAACTAAAACCGTTTTCATGAGAGTTCAGTTTGGGGCCGCTCTCTCTCCAGTAGTTGGGACGGTGTAACCTCAGGGCACCAGCACTCCCATAAACCACAGGAAACGGAAAGCGGCTGTACACTCAGTACAGAGGGACAACTATCACTTACTCATCTATTCCATGCTCTTTAACAATTCACAACGAATAGCCAGCCCTGCTGCCATCCCAGGCTACTGTTTAAAACCGTTATTCTTCACAATGGAGTGGTGACAATCCTAAATCCAGGCATATCTGTAAACAACATGAATGTGTTCTTCTCTGTAGACTACAGTGTGTTAATTAAGACGCCAACCTGGGGCAGATGCCTCGCTGATAAAAGACAGGAAGCTTTATCAGGACTGCAACTGGCTGCAAAACAAGTGAGGATGAAACGCCCTGACACTCCATTCAAACCACATCAATGAAAACTAACATAGAACTTTTTAACCCCCTTTTTCAATGAAAAGAAAACTGTCAGTTTCATACACCTGTCAAAACAGGTTCAACGAGTTACATAAAACAGAAAATAGACTGAAAATAGACTAGTTAATCTTGGTGAGTTTAAGATACATGGTTGCATGCTATGTTTTGATTTTGTTTTAGTTTGACCAGTCAACCTCCCATTTATCATTTTTTAAAGGGAGGAATTGTGGCGCTTTTGTATTAAGCAAAATTACAGTTCAATTACTAATTTCATGTGAACATTTGCCATGGCTGGTGCAAACAGTCACATGACATGAGCTGTATACAGTACATATAATTATATAAACGTATACATGCGCATACAACAGAAAACAGATATTAAAACTGAAAACAGTTATTTTACAAAGAAAATAAATTCACAATATTTCTGTTTTTTTACTGTATACATTAATTTACAATACAATTATAATAATTTTATATATTTTAAAATGCAATAATTTATATATTTTCACACACAAAATAGAACATAGATATTAAAATTATTATTTTACATTTTTTACAAACTGTTCTTTTGTACTAATAATTGTAAAATTAATTCACTATACACACAAACAATAGGTTAGATATTAAATATATTTTTTTTTAAACTGTATCAAAATATTACTTTTTACTGTATTTTTTTATCAAATAAATGCAGCCTTTCTGAGCATAAGAGAATATCATAAGAGAAAAAAACAAGAGACTTTAAAAAATTGACTAGTAGTGTATATGTCTATATTACTATTATTATTATTAAATTTAAATGGTCTAATTAAAAGGCTAAATAATAAGGAATAAGGAATAAAGTATTATTTAACTAACGTTTTGAAGAGATGCCGTTCTTTTTTTGCATTGGGCTATATAATTAATAATATATAGGCCTTCATACATATATAATAAATTCATATAGTATGGCATTAAATGGGTTAAGCAACAGTAATTCATTCACACATTTTTGTTTTGTTTGCTTCTGTTTAAGTGTGTCACGAATCTAAACTGTTACTTTCAAATGCTTTCCTACTAACGTTACTCACACACCCATCAAAGTCCAAACATGCAGTATTTTGTTCCACGCTTCATCACGTGACCTCGATCACCCAAAACCAAGCAACACAGACGGGATCGGGTGGGATCCACCGAATAGCCTGGCAAACCAGTGCACTTACGATTCGGAAGAATACTGCTGGGCTCCTCCGATGAATCCATACTTGTCAGTTTGTCTCGAGCTGGTGAAGCCGTTGATTTCAGAGTCGGATCCGAAAGAGCTCTCCTCATCAAACTGACTGCCCAGAGTCATCACACTCAAAGTATCCTCAAACAGACGTCCGTTCTCCTGCTGAGCCATCATGATCCTCTACTAACACACGGCAGGCTGATTAGCTCACTTACAGGTCATCTCCTGCACCCGTCAGTAGTCATCCCAAGAGAAAACGTGAAATTAACGAGATGCTTCAGCTCTAATTGATCCCAAATCAGGCCAGGCAAAACTACACAGTCCCACCACGACTTTAGCAAATCATTCAGGTTGACTTTAACTGTATTTCCCGTGTTTTGTATGTAGATTTGTGCGTCTTTTAAACCTGCAACGTATTCTAAACGGATTACTGTGCGTCTAAATCACCCGAGTTAAATGCTAAATTAGCTTAGCGCGCAACGTGTCACTATCCAACCCAGTTAGCTAGTATGATCCCAAAACAACAGCGATCACTGAAAATGTACTTTATACAAGCAGAGACCTCGTCCGAAAAAAAAATGTGTAAACAACCGGACGAGCGAAACTACGCCTGAATTTCCTGAATCACATTTTTCCAGCCCACGGTTTGTTTCGCGCTCAACGACTTCAGCGGACTGTTTTCTTTCCGCACGCAGAGCTTTGAGGAGGAAAACAGGTTATATTCCCAGTCGAGATGCACCAGCAGTGTTGTTTTCGTAATTTAAGTCGAGGTCCCATGGCTGAAAGGCAAATAATAAAGTAACTGACAGGTCAGCCGAGTCGTGTTTTTAGTGTTTGGGTGGTGATGATGGCATTAGCGCTGAGTTTCCAGTCCTGCGTCTGACACTTCTGCACATGCGCGTCTGTGTCACTTCCGGAATCCACAGGTTATTTGCATATCATATTTCTGTGGAATGAATCTGGGCTGTGTCGAGGTTTAATTTGAATAAGTTTAATCTTTAATGTGAAAGATGAGCATTAGGAAAGTAATGGGAAGTGTGTCCAATTTTTAAATTGACGAAAATTATGTAATTCCGAACACGTATGATTGTCTTCTGTGTCTTCCATTAGATTTTTTAAAAATATATATATTTTTATATATTTTAATCAAAATATCTTCTTTTGTGTTCAGAAGAAGAAAGAAACTATTTATTTTATTTATTTTAATAATGTTAATTCCAATATGTAAATCTATGAATATGGTAAGCACTCACTTTAATTGTATAAAAATGGCAATTATATATTTTATTTATTTATGTATAAAGCATGTTGTATAAAGCAAATCTGCAGGACCGGGCATATATATATATATCAATAATGCCATGGTAGCAGTAAAAATACAGTCTAACAGGCTGTTTTTACAAATGCACTGAAAAAAAATGGTGTAGAAACAATTGTCACTGAGAAATTGCTAGTAAATTTCACAGTTAATTACAAAGAAACAAGTAACAATGAATTAAACATGAAAATGTGTATAAAGTAGAAAGACTGAAAAGGTATTTTCTTGTGAAACGTACTACAATAATCTTGGTAACACTTTAGATTAGGGAACACATATTCATATTAACCAAAATTTTCCCTCAATAAACTGCTAATTTGCTGCGTATTATAGTTATGTTTAGGTATCGGGTCGGGTTAAGTGATGTAGAATATGGCAACAAAGAAAAAGGCATTAATATGTGCATAAGTACTATTAAACAGCCAATATGCTAGTAATATGCATGCTAATAAGCAACTAGATAATAGTGAGAACTAGTCCTTAAAAATAAAGTGTAACCATAATCTTTGTTTTATTGACAACTTTGAAAAATTGGTAACACTTTAGTTTAGGGACCAATTCTCACTATTAAATAGTTGCTTATTAGCATGCATATTACTAGCATATTGGCTGTTTAATAGTGCTTATAAAGCACATATTCTGCATGACCATACATCCTTTAATCCTATTCCTACTCAATACCTAAACTTAATAACTACCTTACTAACTATTAATAAGCAGTAATTAGGAGTTTACTGAGGCAAAAGTCGTAGTTAATAGTTAGTTAATAGTGAGAACTGGACTTTAAAATAAAGTGTGACCAACAAATCGTTTTTTACACTGTGGTCACTTTTTTGAACAACGAATCTTTAGGGATCTTTAGGTAGTCCGATCAAAAATGAAAATTCTGTCGTCATTTAACTCACCTTAAGTCATTCCAAGCTTGTATGCATTCCGTTCTGAACACAAACGTTGATATTTTGAAGAACATACACAGATTTATTTATTTTTTTAAAGAAATCTTTGTTAGTTTTCCACAGAAGTAAGAAAGTCATACTGGTATCTCTTGACCATTTCTGAAAAGGTTGAGTTCTCTTGAGTTTATCATATTTAAAACATCATTTCCCCCCCTCTTGCACATAATGCATTATTCTCACTATATTTAAAATAATTAAACAAAGCATAGCAACTGAGCATGAAGTTTATTAGAGGTTTGAGAAAATGTGCCACTCGTAGTCCAAGAATTCAAGGGCCTCACAAAGTTCTAGTTACTCATTGCAGTTCAACAAACTGTCTGTGGGGGGCAGCAATTACAGACAGAATTTACAAGTGAGCAAATATCTTTACATCATGGCCTTTTCTAATGTTCAGTTAGTTATGTTTAGTATTAGTTCAATAATATGTAGGCTATGTATTCTGCACAATGATAAAATATGTAATTATATATAAAAGTGAAGTCAATGAGCTGGCCTTCATATCATATAATTTTTTTTTCTGTTAAAAACATACAAGAACGTTGTTTGTGTTATGAAACGTGTTGTCTTGTAGTGCTCTGCTCCTAACAGTACAATACATGTGACAGCAAGCAATAGATTTGTATTACTCCTTTATTATATCTAGAACTACCAGAACAATAAATCTTGTTGTGAAATGCAAAACAAAGGTTTTAATAATGAAAGCTGTTGATATGCATGAGAATTGACATAAACAGAATTGCTGACAGAACTAAACTGAGGAAGTTTCAAATGAAATGGAAGATTTGTCTTTATTCAAGACTCCTCCTTTTCATCACCATGCGTGATAATGTAGCAAAGTGATTTATAGTCAATATTCCCAGCCACATCTATTGGAGCCACTGCAAAAGCCTGGTCAACCTGAAAGAGAATCAAGTAGATTAGAACATCATTATAACAAGTGAAAAGTAAAAAGTACACATTCTTATCACAGCACCTGATAATATAGGCTATCAAAAGTCCATTGTTTGTGATAGCAGTAGAATGATTAGGAACATTATCTGTATCGATTGATTTTTTTATGCATTTTATTTTATGTGTGATATATATATATATATATATATATATATATATATATTTTTTTTTTAAATGCAATTAGTATTTATAAATGCAAATATTAACCTCTTCTGCTGTGAATTTATCAGCTTGGTTCATTAGCAGCCTCCTGAACCTGAAACAGAATGACATAAAATCCATCAATTGTTCTTAAAAAAATACAGTAATGTTTTCGCAATCTGTTTTATACACTTACTCATCCTTATTGACAACTCCTGTAGCATTCGGGTCAAACAGTTTAAAAGCAGCAAGAATGGTTTCTTCTGGGTCTGTGCCTGTTTGGAGATAGGAATATTACACAAATTGTAATAAATCCTCCAATTAAGTCCCTTATAGACTTTTTTCTTATTCATCAAGGCCTTAAGATCTTGAAAGTTTAGTTGTCATACCATTGAGCTTTTCTCCGAAGAGTGTGAGGAAGACAGTAAAGTTGATGGGCCCTTTTCCCTCTGCTAACATAGACTCCAGCTCTTCATCACTCACATTCAGCTTTCCTGCACAAACATAGTACTCAATGCTTATCTAAAAAGCTGTCTGCTTATATGATGTTTCAGATGTATAATGGAAGTATACTGAAACTCTCCAGCAAATGCATTTTATATACCTAGCTGTGCATAAGTTTCCTTCAGATCAGATTTGTTAATAACTCCATCCCGGTTCTGATCTACGCAGCCGAATGCCTGTAAAAAAGCATAGGTATACATGATTTATACTAGATTATATATTATATTTACTCAATCTAGCCTGATATCAACTGCTGCTGGTACCTTTCGTAGCTTTTCAAAATACACATTGTTTCAAAACAGCCTTACAAAAAATGATGATGTTATATGTTTATAATATCATGCCTTATTGTTTTTAGCATATTAGAGCTGGGTGATAATATAGTTTACATTTTGTAATGATATAACAATCAAGCAACTGAGATTTGCTCGAGTACTGTATATACAACTTGTTATAACCAGTTTCAACTCATATATATATATATATATATATATATATATATATATATATATTTAGTGGGTATAGAAAAGAATCACTCCCCTTTAAAATAATGACATTTTGTTGCTTTGCAGCCTGAAATGAAGACGGACACAATTTGTTTTATTGCACTGTATTTACTCAGTGTAACTTATAACATCTAAGTGAAAGATATAACACCAACATGTCAGAAAAAAACAAGAAAAAACAATCACAGAGTTGGAAAAAGGATCACCCCTTGTATCAGTATTTTGTTGAACCACCTTTTTCTTTAATTACAGCCTTTAGTCTGTTAGGATTTGTCACTGTCTAACTTTGCACATCTAGACTTTGCAATATTTTCCCATTCTTCTTTGCAGAACTGCTCAGACTGCAGACTTCAAGTCATTCCACAGATTTTCAGTGGGGTTTAAGTCTGGGCTCTGACTATAGGCCATGCAAGGACATTCGCCTTTTTCTCCTTCAAACACTGTGTGCTCAGTTTTGCTGTGTGCTTTGGGTCATTGTCATGTTGGAAGGTAAACCTTCTTCCCATTGACAACTTTCTGGCAGAGGGCA